TTGAGGCCGGCAACCATTCTAGTGGCGGCCCGCTGGACACGCTCAATGAGGGTAACGTCTTTCGCACGTCCTGAGTAGACAACTTGGTTGGCGTACTCCAGGAGCGGTCTGACGTAGGCCCCATAGAGTATTTGGAAGTCCATGCGAGTAATACGGGAGAAGGTACGTCGGATCATCCGTAAAATGGCACGCACGATTCACCAGGGTTTCCTGGCTGGCTGGAATACCGCAGGAAGCTGGACGTGTTTCACAAGAAGTTTGCGTGTATTATTTGTTCTGGAGAAGCTCCCCTAAAAGTTCACCAGGAAGAAAGCGCACAGATAAGGGTCAAGGGCGTTGGCTGCGGCTTGCGCTTAGAAGATTGAATTTGTGAACAACTAGGAAGAAACCTGAGGCTTCCTGGAAGCGCAGCAACAGAGAGGTATCTGGACCGTAGTCACCACAGAAACCGAAGTAGCCCTAGAAAATTGTCCACCTGTGGTTCGATTGCCGACGGACGGTTACATTGCACGATCTACGGAGCAGCCGTTCAGGCAACTTGGGGGTGTTTCAGGTAAGCTAATTCGGTTTTCTTTTACTCAGCTCTTTACTCCTTTGGGTAGGTCTCCCTCCATAGGATAGACATCGATGACTCAATTAAAAATGGCTGCGGTTGGTCTGTAACTCGTCAAGGAGGAATTTATGGATATCTTCACCAGACACAGTGCCACTGCCGCCCTATGAAGCCATGATCCAAATGCACACACAGTCAAAATTGTCTACCACCACGAGAACTTCTCAGTGGAGTATGTGGAATTTTCTCCTTGATGTTCCACCTCGGCGAAAACTAGATGACTGGATGCTCTATCCTACTAGCCTGCTGAAAACATTACTCAGCTGTCACAATTTAAGAAAAACTTAAAATACTGGCAAATATCGCATACTTTGATCCAACAATCGGTAAAACGGCATGGTGTTATGTTCATCTAATTCAAGGTTACTAATGACAGGTTTGTTGCATCGCATCTTTCTAATGTGGGTTTGCTTAGCGCAGTGCCGTTGAAGGGGCACCCATTCTAAGTACCGTGTAGGATAAATGAGTCGGATCCAGTTAAAACACAATTTCCGTAACCAGGAAAATGGAGTCAAGTGAGTGCTGCAAAGACAGCTTACCAAAAAGTCACCGGAACCTGTTGCATCGTCACCCACCAGTACTTGCGCTGACGAGTGCCACAATGCCACACAAAGCTGTCTGTTGGACCCAGGTCCTGTACCCCACGCTCATGACCATGAGCCCTCCACTCCTATCTCTGAGCATCCACAAATGTTACCTCTGACCTCCACCACGCCAACGAGATCGACTGCTGATTTAGGAGATATGGCAACTAATCAGCCCACACATGAGGCTGTGGTGGAGAATGATAGCACAGGTTCTCACTCTAGACCTCCTGACCTAATGACACTTCGTGTCTCCCCACCAAAGGGCTTCCTTGGACTCAAGCACCTGCTATCCAAGCCTCGCACTGTAAC